TATTTTCTTACTTTGGAGGCTCTATATGTTATGCTTGTGAAGAATAGTTAGGATTCTGTATCTGTTTAATTAAATATTTCTTGAAAAGTTATATTTATTATACACTGAAAAAAAATAGAAACAATTTTACAAATTGCTAGTAAATTTCACAGATATTTACAAAGAATCTGCAAGTAACATTGAATTAAATGTGACATTTTGAAGTAGAAAGACAGAAATAATATTTTATTAATCAGCAAGTTCTGGTTTCAGCTTCTTGAGAAAAAAAAACGTACTGAATCATATAGAAGAAAAAAAGCTTTTTTTTAAAGAAACTAAATGTACAGATGAAGATAATAATGTAATTAACTCAAACTACAAGAGTTTCATCATTTGTTTCTTTATTTAAAGATTCCATGTCTCATTTCTTTCAAGCAAAAGCAAAATTAATACAGCCACAGAACAGTGAAATATTCATTTTCACAACAATAAACAAACTAAATTTCACACTAAAGCATCTGCGAAGGAATGCAATTAAAAACATTATGAATAGAGCAAAACAAATATTACAACAAAATATAGTTTTATAAATTAAAACATTCTCAAAATTATATTATATGGTGCATTTTCTCATATTATTAGACCAGAAACGAATTAAAACAGTCAGAGGCACAGCTGTAAGATATTGATCGCTTTAAACCTGAAATTCAATTAATTATTTGATATAAATTCATAATTGATTTGATAAAATGATATGTTATACAGCGATGTATTTTATGATTTTAAATCCTAATACAGTAGGATCCAAAAGTCTGAGACCTCTAGTAAAAATATTTTGAATTAATCTTTTTAAATTACAAATGATACGATCAGAATAACATTTTGAGTGAAGAGTGTAATTGAAACATGTGCGAATGCCTGATGATTTTTGGACTGCACTTTATAAATAAACTACGACAGCACGTTCTACTGTGCGTTACGTCAGAAACACTGCAGGGTGACGGTGTCAATTGTAAACAATCAAACAAGTATCTGTCCCTGAGTTTTCTAATCTAATTTCTAAACACATACAGTACAGGACAGCATGATCTCCAGAGTGAGCTTAATCTTCATCTTTTACCGTTACTTTACTTAGCAGCCATGAAGTAAGGTCACATCGCAGGATTCTCTGGGTAAGTTCTTTGTTTTATGGGTAAATCTCATGAAAACATGTCCAGGTCATATTTCTATGGAGGCTTGTTTCTGCCACTGGGCAAAAAAAAGACGGTAATTGCGACCTTTTATCTCATGAGATTTAAACTCAGAATTGCGAGATTTAAACTCAGAATTGCGAGAGTTAAACTCAGAATTGCGAGAGTTAAACTCAGAATTACAAGATTTAAACTCAGAATTATGAGATTTAAACAGAATTACGAGATTTAAACTCAGAATTACAAGATTTTAACTCAGAATTGCGAGATTTAAACTCAGAATTGCAAGAATTAAACTCAGAATTGCGAGATTTAAACTCAGAATTACAATATTCAACCTTAATTGTGAGATTTAAGCTCAGAATTGAGATTTAAACTCAGAGTTACAATATTCAACCTTAATTGTGAGATTTAAACTCAGAATTACGAGATTTAGCGAGATTTATACTCAGAATTACGAGATCTAAACTCAGAATTACGAGATTTAGCGAGATTTAAACTCAGAATTGCAAGATTTAAACTCAGAATTACGAGATTTAAACTCAGAATTACGAGATTTAAACTCAGAATTGCGAGATTTAAACGAACAATTGCGAGATTTAAACTCAGAATTACGAGATTTAAACGAACAATTGCGAGATTTAAACTCACAAGGTTTAAACTCAGGATCGTGATATAAACTCAGTTTTGCAGTGATTCTCTATTGTAATTTCTTTCTGTATTAAATAAACAGTTTTGCAATGCAGTGATTTGTAATGCAGGGGAAGTTGTGGCCTAATGGTTAGAGAGTCGGACTCGTAACCCCAGGTTGCAGGTTCGAGTCTCGTACCGGCAGGGATTGTAGGTGGGGGGAGTGAATGTACAGCACTCTCTTCCACCTTCAATACCACGACTGAGATGCCCTTGAGCAAGGCACCGAACCCCCAACTTTGCAGCATTCGCTGCAGCAAAAAATGGCTGCCCACTGCTCCGGGTGTGTGTTCACGGTGTGTGTGTGCACTTTGCTGTGTGTGTGCACTTTGGATGGGATAAATGCAGAGCACTAATTCCGAGTATGGGTCACCATACTTGGCCACATGTCACGTCAC